AAAAAATTTAATGCAACATCAATGTAAACAATGGAAAGTAGAACATAAACACCTTGTTATTACTAAGTACACACATTTCTGTAAAAACATCCAGGTCATGTGAATTTTACAATATTTCCCATTTCTGGACAGTAAATGAAGACCATATATGCATAAAAATTGATGTAAGAAAATTACTTTCAGAGATAAGCAACCCCCTTTACTTAGCCCACATATTGAATTTGTCCACTTAATGCAGATCTATACTATTAAAAGCTATATGTATCTCATTTCCTTTAAAGACCACATCATCTTGCCTGTTTCTGCAATCCATAAAAACAAATTCAATAAAATATCCCTTTTATAAAGCTTCTAATACTGTTCCCATGTCAGGCAATCCATTGGTATCCTGCCAACATGTAGCCTTTCTGAGTCACTTTCTTCCATTTCCAGCCTTGTGGTAACTATGTTTTGTTCATTTCTACATGGGGACCACCACACAGTATTTGTGCCCAGGGCCTCCAAATAGCTAGCGCTGTCCCTGATCTTATCTTGTGTTTAAAAATATGTCACAGGCATCTTTGCCTCTAGCAAATTTTCACAAAACCCCATGTTTCCTATTCTGATGTCCTAATGCTAACTTACAGAGTCAGACCTTTGTTTCCTTGTGTAGTGAAGATCTACTAAGAGTGCTGCTGTTATTGGTCAACTCTGCTCCAGCTCATTTGGGTCCTTTTGGAGCATGGTGAACTTCACAGCTATGATCATAGTTATCCTCAATTTTTCATCATTCTTTCTTAACACCTACAGCCACATGAATGTATGCATGACAGGCATTTTGTTCCAAAGCAGTGAGTTTCTTTTTTTAATCAATAAACCAGCTACAAGCTGTGAACTGCAGAGAAGATAGAGGAGAGGATATGGGTAGAAGTCCCAGTTTGCACTGCACACAGGAAAAAGACCTTAAGACCATCCATTTTCTGGCTATTTTCTTTTGGTTGCATAGAATACACCCAGAGTAAATGATTATATAAAGAGAAACACAGGTGTTATAGCAGAGTTAGATTTAACTTATAAACATCATCATAACAAATCCACCTAATTGATTTATCAAACTTTGATTTTTAATTCTTAAATATAAATCCTTTTTAGAATTAAGTCCCTCTTTAACTTAAGGTACATTTTACTTTTCCAATTCAAGTAATTACTAATTATTATCATCACGTTTAGGCTTTGGTACCAGACTATTGCGTGGTCTTTTAAGAGTGCAGCTGTGATGACAAAGCTTCGATCATGCTAAATATTTTATAGGAAATAAACTGCTAGCACACAGAGAGATGGTTTAAGACAAAAAATTTTGCAGAACAGTGTACAATTGGTTTATAAGTAAAACATAGCAAACATCAGCTTTTAAGAAGAAAAAATGCATGTCTGGCACTCTAACAAAGTAGTTTGTTTAAAATGAAAAGAAGGAATGACAGAGTTAAAGTGAAACAAGATCAAAGTGATGTTCATGGCCTCGCTCCAGGTACAGCAGCCTCTTGGACAGGATTCAGTGGTTTCATTAACGGAGATGGAGCCTCGTCAGTGACAGCACAGGGCTTTTTTCTTTTTTTTTCTTCTATGTTTTTCCCTCCCCTCCTGAAGTGAAGAACCTTGGAAGTTTTGCTGCAAGTGAACATCCAGCTGGTAGTACAACTAAAACTTTAACTAAACTTTTAGATAAGATGTGTGCTTTCTCATCTCTTGGGGGGAAATTACATAAAAGTTGCAACAATAAAAATTAAACAATAATAATGTAAAATCTAGCTCTAAAGCTCTTAAGTCGTTCTCTGCATATCAAACAGTAATGTCAGATTTAATAACTGTAATTTTCATACTGTGTTTTGTCATTTAAATCCTCATCTTAATGTTTGCATTGTATGGAGCGTGAGATTGTTTTGTTTATTATTTGTACTGCTTTTTTTTTTTTAGAGCGAAATTGTAACATAGTTTGCTCGGACAACATAAATATTGCCTGAGATTTTTTAACATCCTTACTGTATTTGATATTTTAGGTTTCCAAAAAAACAATACAAACTATAGAAAATTGACATTAAAAACGTTCTAGAAACACTTACTTTATAGTTCTTTAAAAACAAATTATAAATAGAATAAAGTATCTTGCTTACTGCTTATTTAGGGTGCTACTTCATGTAAACTTGTGTTACAGTTAAAATCCCTTAACGTTTGCAAAGGTGAGAAAAACATACATGGTTTGCTGGAAGGACAATGCAACTGTAAAGTTGACATCTTTGTCAGATTCTTTGTGATTTCATATTGCCTTCGGTTCCACGTGCTGAGATCATCACTCCCCCGCACCCCAACTTATAGACAGATACAGACAGACAGGGAGACACGACTCAACAGATTGAGGGAAAATAAGCAAATAGGCAGTAGCGAGAGCAAGATAGAAACATCCTCCCACCGGCGTTCTGTCGCTCATCCGACTAAGGAAGAAAAAAAAAGAAAGAAAAAAGCATTGCCCATCTGCTCTGCTGCAAAAGCTCCACCATGGCTATGCGTTCTCACCTACAGTGACAACTGCATCCAGGAGCTCCTCATCATCTTCACAGACGTCAGCAATTTTAGCCTAGAGCAACACAGAAACATGAGAACTAATAACTTGATGTAATCTGATTTGCAAGATGTGTGTGAAACACCATCTGTGCAGAAACCTTGCCATTTCTTTATCCTAGACTCCAAACAAAACAGGATGTGACAAAAGCTCATAACAACCCGTATGTATCAAACAATCACAAATTCCTGTTTGATATTATGACCAAAGCATCATATAATTGTGCCTTTTTTGTTTTTTCAACCATGAAAGTAGAAACATTGGATTGTTGCAGGAATGTTTCGGTGTGTGCTGCTGCCCTGACCCCAATCCTCCTTCAATGGCCCTTTGGTTAAATTATAAACCATTCACTGAAATATTATTGTTGCATAACTGGTGATGCTGAAGGCTAAGCTAGACTTTGGATAGCCTTCAGATGAAATGCAGCACAGCCCTGTCACTTGTTCTCTCTGTTGAGCATGAACACACCAGAGCAAGTTGCAATTTGTGGCTAACATGCTTAAAATCGCTTGGTGCTATATGTTAAAGCTGCTCAATTAAAAAAAAAAAAAGAAAATACACCGGAAAGCATAAATGTACTTTTAGGTTTTATAGGACTTTAACTCTTTGAAGCCCTTTTTTTTTTTTTTTTAAGCAGTGTCTTTAATAGTTTGTTTTATCTTTAACAAACCAGGGATAGCCTTATCGTTTGAGATTACTTTTGCCTACAGTCTGATATTATCAAGGTTTGCAGCTGCTTTCGCTTAAAGATTTCTTTCCTGCTGTCAGAAGTAACAACAGATCAGAAAATCATGACATTTCGTCTTTCTCAGTGGTAAAATAAAATATGGTGTCATTTTTTCTAATTAGACTTCCTTTCATTAATGGGATTGCTTAAAGTTGCCAGTGACAGAGGCTTCAGTTGTAAGCATTCCTTTGGAACTGCACATCATTTTAGACGTATTTTTGCTATAGGCAAGGTGTATTAATGTGTCACAGAAATGGAACTATGCTTTATCTACTTGACCTGTCACAAATAGTTTGCTCTAAAGGGTCAAAAGGGAAGATGGCTCAGACCATATAACCACCGCAGATCATGTAACAAAATGTAATCCACCCTGACCTCAGAGTCAAGGTTACAGAGAACTGTGAGCAATGACTTTAAAGTAATGACGCGAAGTCAAATGTATAAAAATTCAATTAATTAGTTCATTATAACGTCTTCAAATGTATATTCAAATCAGCGCCCTAATCTTCCTAATGAACTCAGTTTAATAAGCTAATTTGTCTAATGGACTGTGTTTTATGTACCACTCCGATAAGGAGCAGCTCAGTTGGGAAACCATAACCCAGCATTCCGTCTCACTTTGGGTTTCTGTACAGGTGTGTGTGTTTTCAGTTTGTGTCATACTTCATGCTGTTTCCCTGGGAGTCAGCATTATGGCTGTGTGTCATCAAGGCACCGTGCAAACTCATCATTTCGCACATCATGCACTTTTATTCCCCCCCCCCATCACGTTTATTTGGAAAACGCTTCTGTATATTTGGCTGTACATTCATCCCGTTGAAGGTTATTGGCTCAGAATAAAATACCTTTCACCATAAACATAGTTTTTAGGCATCTTCTTCTTTTTTAAATTTGTTTCATATGTTGGGGCTATGTTCTACTGCATTGTTTATTTCCCATTTCAGATTAAATCAAGTTTCTTACTTAATCTTAAATGAATTTTCCTTCTCTACTTGTCGGTTGTTTTGCTAGTTTTTTGATTATGTCTCCCTTTCCTCAAGTTTCTCATAATCCTTTGTATCCTTCCGTTTGTCCTTCAGCTCTCCTCTGCAAAGCTTCTTTAACATTTCTTCCTTTTTCATACCATTTTATTTTTTCTCCTATATCAACGCTGCCCCCTAGTGTTTTCAACATAATATTCCAGAACATATCGGTTACACCAGAAAATGTGTTGTTTTCTAACTCATTCATAAAATTGACCGACTTGATGGCAAACACACACTAAACACACACACTAAACATCAGTTAACAATCATTAAAGTAAGTTCATTTTTTATCTCACTGACTAAAAATTGTATTGATAGGATTAAGAAGGATGCACTTTATTAATTTATTTATAAAATAAATTCTAACATATTGAATATTAATGGATCTAAAATTCCAATTGCAACTTTCTTCTAATTTTAATGACTATTTTGACTGTTAAATAGCTAAAAAATTGCTTACAACTAGAGAAATACCTTCAGGGTTGTGAGAATTGGTTCCTGTAAATGTCCAAGATCTGCATCTGCAAAGTCCTTTTTAAATGTCAACATGATGCAATAAACTATCCTCTCCTAACTTTTTTCAGACAGTTTTTAACAAATAAATCTTTAAAGGCTTTCTGTTTTCATGTTACCTATTATTCTTGAATTTCAGGTTAAGAGTGTATTCAACATGACGGCGAAGGAGGGAAGGAAGAGGTCCATCAGCTGTTTGGTTGCTGTAGGAAACGGCAACGGAGTGGCAGGTTTGAATCATTGAATCTTCAAACTGATAAAGTTGGTCAGGTGTGGAATTTTTTTTTATATATAGAGAATGTTGATCAGATTTTGTATTCTGTTAACTTTGAACAATATTTGGTTGAAAATATGAAAGAAATATGGTGAATAATGGAAATGATTTGATAAGATTATCTGTTATCCTGACAGTAAACGGATGAATGTCCTGTCTTAGTACTGAAGTGTGTTTCTATTCTTTTACCACAAAAAAAGCTTTTAGAGAAGAGAAGGAAACCAATTGGTAAAATTGACTTTCCTCTCTGTCCCATTAGGGTTCGCTTTGGGTAAAGCAGCAGACAGAAATGCAGCTCTGAGGAAGGTAAGAACAAAAAACATTAGATTTAGGTTCCTTTTTCAAACGTTTTTCTCTTAAAGTTTGAACTTTAATGTAGCATTCTAATGAATTCTAACCAAGTGAAAAACACTGCTAAAAAATAATGATGCAACTGATTTGAATCAGTCAGCCAATGTTGAGAATGTAAGGTTGTTATTCAAAACTTTATTTGCTTAATCATCAGTTTTTTGAAATTATTGTAACAAACTTTTTTCCCTTTCTGTCACGCATCTTTAATTTGCAGGCCAAGAACCGAGCCAAACGGCATTTGTACCACATAGAAAGATACAACGACCACACCAGTAAGTTCCTCATCATAGTAGAGCTAATTCTTTAAATCCTGCCATCTTTACACCCATATGTTGAATGGGTTATTATGCTTGTGGAACCTTTCTGAGAAACATTGTAGGGATTAAAACCTACTGCACACTTATTCACGTTTTACAACTAAAACATTGTTTGATGAGCAGACTGACATCTCAGTTGTGCAGCGCCGATGCATCCATAAGCCTGTAGCCTATTTTCCTTCATTTAATTTGTCAGAAATTCCTGCGTTGTTCAGCGGATGTGACGTCAGGCGCATTGCGGTTAAATGGGTCCGACCTTGCAAACGATTGAGGCATTATATTCAAGATTAATTTGCATTTCCATTGGTGTCAACTCTGACACCAATGGAAACTCCAGGTAAAGTGAAAAAAAGTTTTTAAAAAAAAAGTACGAGTGCGAGCAACGAAAACAAGAAGAAGAATGCTGCAGTTCTATGTTTTTACCACAGGTGGCAGTATCCTTTAAATAGTTAAATACAGGCCAGAACTGGGCTGTAAAGGGTGTGTTACCTGCTACAAAAGGATGAAATAATCAGTGTTTCTACTTCATGTGCCTACAGTCAGATCACATCACTTAAAGGGAACGTTAAAAAACTCAAGTTACTTCATTTAAAATATATTAGTTAGTGACCCTGAGTTCATTGATGTAATTAGTTGTAGTTAACTGCTGACAGATGTTGCAAGCATCCCTTCAGAACTGGCAAACATTTTCCAAATGGATTTTTGCTATAGGCAAAGAGAAAGGACCTGTTTGCCTCAGGTGATTTTCTGCACAGAGTAACACAGCCCCTAGGCTTCCAAAGTTGGTGTTTACTAACAGAACATAGAATCTGAGTTTCTCAATGATAACATATTAACAAATTTACATACCTCATCCTTAAAAATTCTTATCTCATACATTTTTTTATTTAGTAGGAAATACAGTTACATATGTTTATTTTCTCATCAAAATAAAGTCTAATTCTTGTAATCATAATTCTTCGACAAGTAATACAATAATTGCTTACCATTTATGTGATTTATCTGGAAAAACCTACACGTCTGTTTCAGAGATAAGTTCTACACATAAAGATCATGGATGAGGAAAAAAAAGGTCTCTTAAATCTGACCTCTTTCCACCCTGCACCCCAGGTTTCCTTTATTTTCCTCTTGGCTCATAATCACTCTGACTCCACTTGGCTTTCTGCTGCCTCATGAATCACCCACTCATATTCATGTAAGTGACATAATCTGAAAGATGGCTTTGTAAGCTAATGAATGGGAATCAGTATGAATTGCTTGTCCCTTCTTATGGGGAAGCTCCAGTTGGCTTCTTTTGCCGCTGCTGGAGAGCAGCATCAGAAAGATTAATGTGTGAGTCATCAGCCTCCATCACACCCACCGGAGGAGAAAGTTAGCTTCCTGATTTGGACCCGAACCAGGCAGGGTCGGAGTGTGTGTGGATAGGGATCTCTGCCCTGCTTGAGTTCAGAACATCAGTGTATTTCATTTTCTCAGGTTCAGGTTCTCTCTGTGCCGCCATCTGCATCCTGTCTCTGCTGTTAGTTCTTTTTTTATTTCACCTCTTTGTCTGAACCACCTGGCACCTGGAATTTTTAGTTTCCCTCTTTCTGCATTTGAAGCTCTGTATCTAAAGTTCCTTAAATTTAACCCAACTGATGTTTTATAACAGTATTTCCGCGGGTCATTAAAAGTCATTGAAATAATTATTTTTTAAATTAAGGCCTGAACTGGCATTAAAATTCATTAAATGTGATTATTTTGGTATTTAAAATGCTTTATTTAAAAAAATTTTTTATAAAAAATGTTTTTTAAATGATATATATATTTGCAAATATGCAAATATATCACAATCGTGATACATTTGGGTACTTTTGCAAGGTCATGGGTACTTTTGCATTAAAATAATTTTTAAGAGCATTCAAAAAGCATTAAATTAGAGTTGCTCATTACTGTATAAACTATGTATAAAGTAACATAACTGCAACAAAAGCTCTTCTGCTGAATCATTTCTTTGCAAATAATTCAATTCAATGCTGTGTAAAACTTCATTTTTTTGTAAATTTCTTAACAATTCGCTAGTTAACAAACCACAACCTTTCTTATTTTTTGTTTGTTTTTTTGTGTAAAGGACCAAGAAAGTAGTGAAGTGGATAGAAAAAGGCACATGATCATATTTTATTGCATAATAATAATAAAAAAAAAAAACTGAAAATTGTGACATTTTTATGTAGTACCCCATGGTCGATTCTTTGCAGAACAACATTTTGCATTGCTATATGTCAAAGTTTTTGTTACTTTTTTCAGCTTTACATGTGTAAAAAGTGTTTTTTTCCCAATTCCTCTTTACAAAGTAGGTCAGTCAGATAGTTGTAGGGCGACTATGAACAGCAAGTCTTTGTCCGCATTCTCATTTTGGTCTGAACTGTTCTCAAACATATAAATATGAAATCATTTCATTGTAGCTCATGCTTTGTGTTTGGTTTTTGACCCTTGACCAGGTTTTCATCTCATGATTGCTCTGTATTATATCCATCAGCCTCCCTTTCCATTATGAGAAAAGAAACCCTCCTCACAGCATGATGCTGCTAACTCTCTACAACCTGTCTGCTATGATCCTTGGTCTCCTTTTTTCACTCTTTCATTGATCAGCTGTATTCATGCTGAGATTAGATTACACTGGGTTGTAACTGTAGAGAATTCCTGGAGGTCTGCTCCAGTTAAATATTAGCTGTTTATTCCCACTATTGCCACATGCTTGGGTACAAAACATCACATTGGCATAAATTAAACTAGTTCTACTTCAACTAACAAAATATAATGTCCTATTCTTTGATTAGAATGTTATTGTAAACCCCCAAATATCAGTACTAGTTGTTTTTGTTTTATTTTTTACTTTTTTTTACTTCTTAACTGGAGTTGCCATTGGTGTCAGTTGAGCTGGATGCTTGTCGCTTCTTTTTATCAACAAAATCTTTATTTAATATAAAGCTTCAGTTGTTTGCTAAGTCAGACCCATTTAAGGACACCCTTGACATGGCGTCCGCTGAGCAGAGCAGGAACTTCCGACCCTGTTCAGGAAAATGGGCTACCGGCAGATGCATCGGCCCTGGACTACTGAGATGTCAGTCTAATCATCAATCATTATTTTCATTGTAAAGGGTAAAATAAAAATTCTTACTAATTTAATACAACTATAAATATCTTAACTAACGAAGATTCAGGCACTTCATCCCATTTTTCACGATATAATTATATTAATTTGCGAAACAGATTAACCCTAATATTTCTATTTTTTTCTTTAAATTATTTCCTTTTTAGTTTTTACATAATTTTCCATACATATCAACACACTCTTGAAAAAAAATACTTCCTCTCAAACTTTTTTTTCCATTATTTTATTCATTTCATTTATTTAAAGTGAAAAAGACAATGTTTTTTTTGTTTGTTTATGAAATCCTTTACAATTATAAATATTGATCTTAAAATATAAGTTGTTCTTCAAATGTCAGAGTTGTTGGCCAAAATAATTTTTTTCAGATGGAAAAAAGGTTACAAATGGTTCTTTGGATATGTTAATGCACTTGAATTGATGGTATTATATTCATTAATTGGATTTAATTTTCTTGTAAAATACAGAGTTAACTGTTGACTTAACGTTTGGAGCTTTAAACATAATCACTGTTAAAATTGTGCGCTAAATGGGCTACATCTAAGCAGGGCAACACAGTATATCTCACTGTTTAGCACCATCCAGTTATCAGGCTGCACAATTTGAATATTGCACGGGATATTTTAGATTGCAGTAATTGTTAATCCTAATGTCCCAGTTGTCCATTAGGTTCTAAAACACCAGTGATAATGAGGATAATGATCACTATCACTGGGGTAGATATTGAGATGAAACACATCATAGAAACCTATGGGTCCTAAAGGTTGCAAAAACATAAAAGCGTTGTGTTTGAATGGGGAATTAGGAAAAATGTGTATCTGATATCCAGATTTTAACATTAAAGAATATTTAAGTACACAATTGTTTGTTCCTTTAAAGCATCAAATTTTGCTTCACTTTAATTAACACTTGACATTAGTCATCTGTATGTAATCCACTTGGAATATAATGAAGTTTGTGGGTCTGACAAGCTGTAAAAATACTGAGTTTTAATTATCTTGCAAAGGCTTGTAAGCGGTTTAAAATAAAAAAAAATGAATGCATTCGTCAGTCGCAGCAAGACCGAATATATCCACCTGCTCATTTCTGTCTGTTTTTGGAATAAATCAGACAGATTTAGAGTGATATTTTCTGTAGTTATTTCAATCTTCCATTTACTGGGAGATAAATTGGTTCTTATTTCAGAAGAAAAAAAAAGTTCTGCCTTGATTTTCTCACTTTGTCAGATGAAGCTGGACCTCCTGTTGCTCTAACAAATGCTTGATTCCCTGGGGTGGATGAGTCATCTAAGTGAATATGAAGTTCATATTAAGCTGAACTTTTCATTTCATCACTTGTGTGGATTTGTCTGTAGAGAACTGAAAAGAATAGTTATAAACTTTATATTTTTTTCAGTCCGTCATCAATACGTCCTCATCTGCACCGCTGCATCATCCATGTGCAAAACTGAGTTCTTTGGTTCACACTGGACTACTCCAGGTTACACGAACATCAGCAAGAGCTGGATTCCAACCTGAAGCCACGCATCTGCCAGCAAAACCCACTCCTCCTTGAGGGTTAGGAAATGAGTTTAAATAAGTAATCAGCTACAGCTGCTGCAGTGAGCAGGAGAGTCTCGCGTGTGGAGGGACAGCTGCTGGGCATGTAGAGAAATATGAGCCCCAAGGAGTGGTGGAAAATAAAAAGCATAAAGCAAAGTGCCTTCAGATGGAAACAACTCAAACATGTGGAGCTAGTTAGAATTTATTGATTTGTTAATGATTTATTTTCTTCCATGTCTGATGCAGCTGTTTTGTTTCTCCACCAACAGTTTATCATGACATTGACTCCAGGTTCAAGAGGACAACTCTGCGTATGAAGAAGCAAAACGAGGGTGCGTCTGCTGCACAAGGGTTAATTTATGCCAGATATCTCACCCAGCAAATTTATATGAAATCCTTCTGTGATGTTTACCTTAGCCATCCTCAAATGACTGCAGGCTGTGCTGGAGTTTGACTGCTTGTGTTTGCAGGTTATGGTCTGCACTGCCACAGGGCAGTCATCACTCTCTGCAAGCTGATTGGCATTAAGGACATGTACTGCAAAGTAGACGGGTCAGTCAATCTCCTGAACATCACTCGGGCACTCTTCACCGGATTGGCCAATCAGGTGGGATTATGTTTGAATAGCGGCAAGAAATCTCCAGAAAAATGACATATTCCTCCTTTAACGGTCTTGCACAGGGTGGCCACTTATGCATTTTCCTAACCACTGAATAATAAGAAATACTAGTAACTCATGTTTTTAACTAGTTTTTTTTTTTGTGTCTACATCTGGAAAATAATGTATTTACTGATGCAATCAAAACAGACCAATGAGAGCAGACTCAGCCAGAGATTGAGATGCAAAACGTATAGATATTCCCTTTTTAGGTATAGAGGGTTATAACTCTTGTATGCTTTCAATGAAAACTCAGGCTAAACTATTTATGTTCGTCTAGAACAAAAGCCTTTTTTTTGCTTCCTCCATACAATGTGCTTCTAATACTCTATGTCAAGCATTTAGCATGCTGACAGAGAGTTTGCATATTTTTCACATGCAATGTGCAACTGAGCAGAATACTGATTACTGCAGTAAGCCAGTATTAGTCAGGCTCAAGTTCTCCAGAAAGGGGTAAAAAAAAAAAAACACTGGCAAACTTGCAGATCAATGAGTACAGAGACCTGAAACAGGTGAGGATCTATTGAAAAGTACCATTTCGTAGTTAATATTGTGGCATGACAAACTTTTAAAAGTTT